AATATTAATTTCTCATCCATTTTAGTTTAAGGAACAGTAGAAGCGGCAGGACTGAAACTTACCTTCCAGCCCAGTGTTCTTCCTGTCCCACCAGAAAATCCAGATGTTACATTTGAAAACATTTCTGATGTGATGTCTTATGAATCTTAAGTTGAAAAGTCTCATTGCCTTTCACTTTTTACTGGAAGAGCAATTGCCTCCGGGTATCTGCCCCAGCGTGTCTAGGCTCCCTTTTATTCTAGACATAGCTTTTCAAATGAAGATAGGTCCCTGAGTGAGAATAGTGTTTTTCCTCCTGGGATCGGTAGGCTGCCAACCAAAGTGGCCACCAGTCCCCTGCCAGTTTGTGGGCATGGTCATTGAAAAGAATACAGTGTTAACTTTCATCTAAGGATAGAGGTCTAGTGTGTTTATTTGAGAAGCCAAATTTGGGGAAAGGAAACTAGGGAGGTTTTGCCTGACACCGCAGCCCCTCCCACCGAGAATAGCTAGGGTCCCTTAATGTTTAAAGGTTGATTTAGTCTGGGGGCCCAGCTGTGGTAGTGTGTGCTGCTGGGATGGTGTACACCCTAGGCTAGACTATGTGGGGGGCCCTGAGTCAATTCCCAGTCCAGCCTGGGTGCTAGGGATGGTGGTGCATGCTTGTGATCCCAGCTGGGGGCGGAAGCAGGAGGCAGGAGACCTTGCTTAGGTCACCACACAGGAAGAATGAAAAAAAAAAAAAAAAAAAAAAACTCAGTCCAAATTGAATATTTTAGTTTATTTATGTCCCATCTTTTTCTTTTTTTTTGAGAGAGGCTTTCGCTACAGGGCGTGTGCGCTCGCCAGACAGACAGACAGACAGAAAGCGAGAAATCACCCCCCAGGGGGGTGGCCACGCCGCAATCCCTTCTCCATTCTCGTCTTGGGATCTTGGGCACGCACGCACACGTGCCCGGCGTGAGATTTAAGCCACCGGGTCCGGGACGCGAACCCTGGTCAACTACGTGGGAGTCCAGCGACACAGCCATTACACTAACTGCTGGTCCCTACGTCCCATCTTTTTTCAAAAAGTATTTGACATCTTTTATATAATCTTTACAACAGCCATATTAAATTAAAAATAGGTAAGGGGCCAGAGTGTGGTGCAGCTGTCAAACGTGATGCTCTGTGAGGCACTTCTATGGGAAAGTGCCCAGTTCCAGTCCAGAGACCTCCGAGTGCACCAGACAGGCGTGCCATGGTCCTAGGATGGCTGAGGCTGGGAATGGATCACAGTGTCAGGACCTGGTTGGGGATGCAGTTTCTCTCTCTGTATCTCTTTCTCTCTCACTGGAGATGAAATAGATAAATAAACTTAAAGAAAAAAAAGGTAGATGAGAGAATTGGCACAAAGGAAAATAAAACAGATAAGTACAACAGCAAAATTCATTCTGTAAGATTCCACTTGCCAAAGGGAGCTCCAGACTTGGCTCTGGAGCTTGGTAGAGGTCAATGGATGGTACAGAGCTAGGGTCACCTAACGAAGCCAGTTGTCTGTTTTTGTAAATAAAGTTTGCTTGTGGGCTAGCTGGTGGCATGGTGGTTAGGGCAACTGGACCCCATGGTTTGAGTCCTGTGCCTGGCGATTTGAAAAATGTGATGGTAAGTGTGCGTATATGCCCAAAATCCCGAAAGGAGGGAGACATGGGGAAGGGATTGCAGCATAACCAACGCCCTCTGACAAAATTTTAAAAATAAGAATTAGAGTGTTATTGGAACAGACCAGGCACACTTGTTAAATAGTGCTTCTGACTGCTTTTGTACTACAGTGACAGTTTAGTGTGACACAGGCTGTAGAGCCCAGAAGCTGACATACTACCCAGCTCTTTAAGAAAATACTGACTCCTGGTATAGAGGAGAAACCTTTTCAGATATCTAATTCACTGTGCCCATAAGACACAATAGTAGTGTACCCAGAAGAAGCCAGTGCTAAGGCCAGAGGGCAGTCCAGAAGTCCTCGGAGGGCGTCTTTGTAGTAACTAGAATGATGTGCTCAGTATGACCTTGTGGGCAAAAATGCCGCAGGTTTCCTAGGGCTGCTTCATACAGATGGGAACTGGCAACAACGGCCCAGTGCAGTCAGCACCCTGTGGTGCCAGGCCCACTGGGAAGAGGGCTCTGTGCATGGCTGAGGTGGGGGTGGATCATGGCATGAAGATCCTGTTGGAGTACCTGTCTCTTTCTCCCTCTCCTCCTCTCATGGAAGAATAAAATAAGTAAAACTTTAAAAAAGGAAAAAGCTCTGTTTCTAAAATAGCTCATTATAGAATCTCAGGGTCATGGGCTGACAGGTAGCGTGGTGGTTAAAGGCACTGGACTCCCACATGGCCAACTGTGGTTCAGGTCCTGGACCTGGCAGCTTTCTCACTTTCCCTTTCTCTCTCTCTCTCTGGTCAAATTAAAATAATACTAGTAACAAATGGAATAAATAAGCATTTTTATAAAAAAAGGAATCTCAGGGTTAGAGGAGATGTGAAAAATTATCTGTTCAAGTGGTCCCAAACTCAGGCTCCTGAAAGTATTTATGAAGATCCTAAAGCTATTTTCATTATTTCTGAAAGCTGCCCTCCTTTGATAGCGCAGCATGGACTTAATCCTCGGCCCACCCCTAATAAATGAGGTACGTTTGGCAAACACGGCTATTTTATTTGGGGCTGGGTGTGGGCTAACAGGATCCCGTGCGAAGGGCCAGCATCGATCAGTGTCGTCCCATAGCCCACGGGGTTCAGTTTGGGATCTTAGCTGTCTTAGACACCGAGCTCCTCCAGTGCCAGGCGCTCACTGTCCTGAAAGTAGGTGTCATTCTTGAAGTTGTTTGGAATCTGGCTCTCCCAGTTTCTGCTCCTTGTTTTTGATTATCCCCACAGGTGACACAGTCTCTCGTGAGGCAGCCTTTTCCCCAGGATACTGCTTGCCAGGCATAAGCATCTTTTGAATAGTCTTTTTTGTTTGTTGTTTTTTTGGTGGCTGTTTACCTCAAAGGTGTGAAGCAGGCCCTTTGGCTTACCAAGACCAAGTTGGTAGAAGGCCTTCCTGAGAAAGTGCTTGGCCTCATCAGCGATCCCGGCAACCACATAGAGAACCAGGACGAGCGCGTTCTGAACGTGATCTCTCACGCCCGGCTCTGGCACTCCCCCGAGGACGTCCCGAAGAGAGAGACCTACTGGTAAGTTCCCGCAAGTAAGAAACATTTCCAACTAGGGGATCTTAGAGTCAGCTTGCTGCTTTAAGTCCCCAAATATTTCTTCTTTTCCTCAAGCCCAGTCATTGTGGACAGTCTCATACAGCTCTGTAAGTCCCAGATGCTCAAGCATCCTTCCCTGGCCAGGCGGATCTGTGCCCAGAACTACTCATTATCCACCACGTGGAATCGAGGTTAGTCTTCCTGGACCCTTGGTCTGGGTATTTTATCTTTCTCCTCTTAGCCATACTACAACTGTCATCCCTCTCCCCCAGACACCTACCCTCACTCCTGTCCTTCATAGTCCCATTTCGAAGGCTCAGACACGTCCTCAGTATCATTATCCATAGCCCAGCCTTTTTAGTTTTAATTCTTTCTTTCTAAACTGTTAATTCAACCATTAGTGGTCAGCTGTGTGTGTTGGGAGCCTGTGATGTGCTAGAGAGCGCCTATAGGCTGAAAGTGCGGAAGATAAGGAGATGGTAACGCACACAGAGGCTCTGCCCTTACACCAAGGCTCTGCCCTCACACAGAGGCTCTGCCCTCACACTGAGGCTCTGCCCTCACACTGAGGCTCTGCCCTCACACCGAGGCTCTGCCCTCACACCGAGGCTCTGCCCTCACACAGAGGCTCTGCCCTCACACAGAGGCTCTGCCCTCACACAGAGGCTCTGCCCTCACACAGAGGCTCTGCCCTCACACAGAGGCTCTGCCCTCACACAGAGGCTCTGCCCTCACACAGAGGCTCTGCCCTCACACAGAGGCTCTGCCCTCACACAGAGGCTCTGCCCTCACACAGAGGCTCTGCCCTCACACCGAGGCTCTGCCCTCACACCGAGGCTCTGCCCTCACACCGAGGCTCTGCCCTCACACCGAGGCTCTGCCCTCACACCGAGGCTCTAGGCTCCTCCCTGCACACCGAGGCTCTGCCCTCACACGGAGGCTCTGCCCTGCGCACCGAGGCTCTGCCCTGCACACCGAGGCTCTGCCCTCACAAAGCACGCATTTTCTTGCAGTGGCCTTCTCTCCCCTTTCACATTTCTCTGTTTGTCTGGTCCATTTTCAGCAGAGCTGCTAGAGTGATTTTTCTTTTTTCCTTTCTTTTATTTTTAAAGAATTATTTTTATTTTACTTTATTTTAATTTGATCAGAGAGGCTACAGAGAGAAAAAGAAGGAAAGAGAGAAAGCAAGCTGCCAGGTCCAAGACTTGAACCACAGTCAGCCATCTGGCAGTCCAGCACCATTAACTACTGTAACACCACCTGCCGCCCCCACCTTTCTTTCTTTCTTTCTTTTTTTTTTTTTTAAATGTTTGCTATAGGGAGGTGTGCTCCCCAGAGAAAGACAGAAAGAGAAAGTGAGAGAGCACACCCAAGGGGGGATGGCCACGTGGAAATCCTTTCTCCTCCATTCTCTTGGGATTTTGGACATACATGCACACATGCCCTTTGGCTATATGGAATCAGTTGTCTTAACCACCATTCCACTGGCCGGCCCTAAAGTGATTTTTCTTTTTTTCTTTTTTTTAAAATTATTTATTTCATCTTATTTATTCGTTCATTTTATTTTAATTTGACCAGAGAAACAGAGAGACAGAGACACAGAGAGAGAGAGAAAGAGGGAAAGTGAGAAAGCAAGTCACCAGGTCTAGGACTCGAACCATGGTTGACTATGTGGGAGTGTCCAGCACCTTAACCACCACATCATCTGCTGGTCCCCCTAAAGTGATTTTTCTATAGGGCAAGTCTTTTTATGTCTTTCCCCTGCCTCAGATCCTTCACTGTCTCCTAGTAATTAAAGCATTTGTCATGGTCTATCAGGCCCCCTGTGATAGGGCTACCACCTCGTCTTGCTAGGTGTGACTGCTTTCCCACCATCCCACCACACACGCCCCGTGCTAAGTTAGCCACTTGCTACTTTCCCTCATCAGGCATGAGCACCCGTGTACCTTCTGCCCGGAATGCTCTTTTCCACTTCCCCTGTTTGACCGAATTCTATTTTAATGCAGCGCTCAACCCTAGCCCCCTTCCTCTGTGAGTCCAGGCTGGGCAGCCGTTCCTCCCTCTGCTCCTTATGCCTTTATGTTGTCATAGGCCGTATCACTGCATGGTCATCATCTAGTACTGAGTATATCCATGCAGGAACCGTGTCATATTCGTTTTGTCCAAAGCATTCAACAGCTCATGGCACACGGTAGGTGTTGACTCGAGGGGCAGGTGGATGAATATGTTGTTTCAGGTGGGGATGTCCAAAGAACACGGGCGTTCTAGTTGGTGGGATCCTCTAGCAGGGACATGAGCCCTGAAATCATTGTGGGTTTTAGGACATCTGCTTGGTTGGGTTTCGCCAGCTTGCCCCTTTGCATACGGACTTCCTGGCAAGGAGTCAGCTTCGCAGAGGTAATGGCACCACTAAGGAAATTAGTGAGCCTCATTAATAGAGGAGTACTTATTGGCCCATCATCAAGTATTACCTCTAATTAAACTGCCCCATTTGGAGCTGTCACTGGAGGAGGGATGTGGAGGGAATTGAATTAGAAACCACAGCAGAGTGGTCTGTGGGGAGAGTCTGAAACCCAAGGTTAGGAGAGGTCCAGGCACATTCATTTTCCTTCCAGATTATATGTGAGGAAACAGGAAATACTTTAGAAAACTATTCTCGAGGTGTGAGTACGATGTAATTTACCAAACAGGTCAGAGTTCATCCATCCGCAGATGGAGGATGGCTTTTCCGTGCACTCAGTAAGGGAGGCCACATGCTCATAAATGGCAGGGCTGTTGACCAAACCAATTTGTAGACATACAGGAGAACGACCTGTGAGTCGTTACCATCGCGCTGTAGCTGACGGTTTCTAAAACGCCAAGGTTTGCCTCCGTGGAGGCTCCTTGGGAGGCTATTCTCAAGGAATCTTTCCAGGCACAGTTTGTCTGGTGGCGGCACATGGCCTCCCGTGGGGACCACCGTGAAGGGCATCTGTGCACATTCATGATGGCAGGCTCACTGATGAGGCAGATGGGGACGGCGTCTCCTCCTGTCATCCGCTTCCGGTAGCATATGTGCTCCTCTCCCAAGGTGAGGCTCTCTGACTGGCCTGGTTTTGTTCACTGCCAGTGTTGAGGACAATCTGGCCTTTTCCCTGGGCCTCTCCTTTCTTCTCAGCCTCTAGTCCAGTGCGTTGCTCTCTCCACCTTCCTGGCTTACCGTGTCGTACTCTAGGCGTCTGGATTGATTTCCTCACACTTGGCCTCAGAGTTGCACACTCTCGTGACTTCACACGTGCCAGTCCTCTCTAGCTAGAATGCCTTTCTTTGTCTGGCAAACTCTTACCCAGGGGTAATTCAGCCAGGGATAGTTTAGCTTGGTAATGTCTGAAGCCATTTTTACTTGTCATGGGATGAGGCAGGGTGGTGGGGTAGGGAGGGAGTCCTAGTAGCATCTAGTGGGTAGAGGCCAGGGATGCTGCTGAACGTTCCGAATGCACAGGACAGGCCCCTGCACCAAAGAGCTGTCTGTAAAGATGCAGATAGTGCCGCAGATGAGAAACCCTGCTCTTACCCATCCTCCAGGTGCAGTTTTAAGGTATTGCTTCTTTCAGGAAGCTCCCCAGCCCTCCTAGAAAGAGTCTGTTTTCCTCTGTGTTCTAACTCTGGGTATGGTTCCTGTGTTGCACTGCAGCACTTATTACCTGTCTAGCTCCTTCAGAGCAGAGAGCAGCTCTCACTCATGCCTGGGGCCCCAGCTTAGAGCAGGTGCTGGAAAGGATCCTGGTAGGGCTGACGTGAACCTCCAGAGACCCCCAGACCTCAGGGTTTGTGGGAGAGGGAACATGGGAGGAAGAGCATTGATTCATCCCCTTCTCAGAAATCCCAGGGTTGACACTGAGGTTTTGTGTTCTGTGATTAGGCCAGTTGTCTAGAAAAACTATCAATGACTTGAGATGCATGGAGGGTAAAAGCTTTAGACTTCTCTGAGCTGGGAAAAGGCTAGACTAATCATCTTTCTCCCCTTGTAGAGTCGATTCTCCTTCAGGTCCGGGGTTCTAGCGGAGTCCGCCTGAGTACCAAGGACCCTCTGCCCCCCATTGCCTCCAGAGAGGAGGTTGAAGCCACTAAGGATCACGTTCTTGAGACCTTCCATCCTATATCGCCCACTATTGACCTTCAGGAGTGCAATGTTTATGATGTGAAAGACGACACAGGTGAGCATCCAAGCCTTTGAGTTCTAGGTAATGTGGAGAAGGGGGGACTTGCTTCTTCCTTCACTAGGAACTTCCTCGGGGCCTTGCGCCTCACGTGCATCATCTCCGAGGACTCATGGAGCAGCCTGGGGAACAAATACTGTCTTCCCATTTTATAGACAAAGGAGGGAGGTTGGGTGAGTTGCTCAATGACTGGCTTTGCTTTGTACCCCTGAGACACCATTCTGTTACATCAGAGTTTTATTGTTCTGTTTGTAAGCCAGAGAACATATGCATTCTTCAGAGGGAGAGGGCGAAGGAGAAAGCACCCCCGGGGGGGGCATGGTCACACCACAATCCTTCTCCATCTCTCCATCCTGTCTGAATTTGGGGCCTGCACACACACACCCAGTGTGTTTTTCAAGCCAGTAGGTCCAGGGTTCAGCCTGTGTAGTCACCTTTGTGGGCTCCTGCTCCTTTAATAGTTAGGCCACAGACCAGCCCAGACATCACAGTTTTTTTTTCTCTTTTTAAAAAATTTTGCCAGAAGGCATGTGCACTTGTTGAAGGGAGAGAGTGAGGGAGGGAGGGGAGAGGAGGAAAGGAGAGGAGAGGGAGTGAGTATGAGGGGAAGAGAAGGTGGAGGGGAGAGAAGGGGGAGGGAGAAGAAGGGGATGAGAAGGGAGGGGAAGAGAGGAAAGAGAGAGAGATGCACCTGGCATGTTTCTTTTTATTTATTTATTTATTTTTGTTTTGGAGAAGTTTTTGCTATAGGGCGTGTGCGCTTGCTAGAAAGACAGAGAGAGACAGAGAGACAGAATGTGAGAAATCACCCCCCCAGGGGGGATGGGCACACACGCACACGTGAGTTTAAGCCACCAGGTCCGGGACTTGAACCACGGTTGACTACATGGGAGTCCAGCGACATAGCCATTCACCAACTGCTGGGCCCAGCTCCTGGCATGTTTCTAAAGTTACCAAGTCTAGGACTTGAAGTGAGCAGTCTCCCACGTGGGATAGAGCTGCCTCAATAACCAGGCCACAGACTGGCCCGACAGAGTTTCAGTGGGTAACCTTTTTTTTGAGAGCTTTTTGCTATAGGGCGCGTGCGCTCGCCAGACAGACAAGAGAGAGACAGAGACAGAAAGCAAGAAATCACTCCCCGGGTGTTGGTCACGCCGCAATCCCTTCTCCTCCATTTTCCTCTCGGGATCTTGGGCACGCACGCACACGCGCCCGGCGTGAGTTTAAGGCACCGGGTCCGGGACTTGAACTGCAGTCGACTACGTGGGAGTCCAGCGACATAGCCATTATGTTAACTGCTGGTCCCAGTAGGTGACTTTTTTTTTTTTCCATCCAAAATACACTGTGCATTGGCTCAATCAAGCACATCAACATACATGTTCTCAGCAAATAATTTTCCAATTCTTATGTCCTGCATACCTTGCCTTTTGTTTTGCCATTTTTGATTCCCCATCCCCCACCCTCTGCCATGTCCTGTCCCATCCTCCTCCCACATTGTCCCTGGCATCCATTTTTTCTCTATATCTCCCCCCCCATTCAATTGTTCTGCCAATGAACTTAATTAGTCTAAATATATCCAATAACTAGCACAGCTGACACATACCTATACATGCACTCAAGTCTGACTTTAGGCATAAACCCCAGTGAGTAGAATGAACATACTATAAAGTAGTACCCAGCTGTGCCCATACAGCTCGCTGCAGTCATCAAGTATGCATTTTTTTTTTTTTACGAAATGATACGAACAGTTTTACCGTTTTTTTTTTTCCTCCTGCAACTAGTTTTTTTTTTTTTTTTACCTAA